AAATTGTCTCTAAACTTCAATTTTGACACCAAAATAGTCCTCAAACTTTGAAAATAATATCAATTTAATCCTTAAACTTTGAATATAAGTACCAATTTAATCTTTAAACTTTGATTAAAAATACCAATTTAGTTTTTTAACTTTTGATTATATCTCAATTTGATGTGTAAAAAGAAATATACACGATTATAAAATATAATTCTTTGATTTTACATGTCATTAGTATTTCAAAAAAAAAAAATTGATTTCTAGCAAAATAATGAGTTACATAGCATTTTTGTTAACCAAAGAACTATCTTAGTACTAAAAATTAGAGTTCAGGGACAACTTCAATATTTTTTGAAGTTGAAGGATAATTTTGGTATAAATCTAAAAATTGAGGGACCAAATGGGTATTTAAACCAAAAAAAAAAAAAACACCGGCGAAATCGTCAGCCACTAACCGGTGGGAAAACACTATTTGCCTCTGTTGTTGGCTAGAGATTGGGGGAGGAGAAGCTTGCAGCGTAGAGGAAGAAAAAAGGAAGAAAAAACAGAGGAAAATCGGAGATGCAATGCAGAAGGGGAGAAGATGGGCACTGCGAGGATGAAAGCCGTGGGGAACCATATACGGACCGATCTCGGTCCGTATAACTCTGACAGTGTATCCCAACGTCTCATCGTTTCAAGGAATCTCTGACGGCTATATTCAGACCGATTTCGGTATGAATATCAATAATTATTTAGATGTGTAATGGTCCGTAAATTCAATTGACATTGGCACTTTACTCATAATATATACCGACCGATTTTGGTCCGTATATCTTTATTTAAATAATATTTTATTTCTAATTTTTGTAATTTAATATTTATTTTTTACGAAAACATATTCGGACCATCTTCGGTCTAAATATCTATGGATATTCAAACTGAAATCGATCTGAATATTAAATGAAAATATTCATTTTCTGAGTTATATATACAGACCGATTATGGTCCGTATATATTCATTTAAATAATATTCTATTCTTAATTTTTTTGTTATTTAATTTTTTTTTACGAAAAAATATTCGGACCATTTTCAGTTTGAATATTATTGGCGCATTTCCATTGTTAATTGCCGTCATAAATACACGGACCAAAAACGGTACAAATATGTTGATGAATCAATATCGTACCAACTTAATATATTCGGATCGATATTGGTCTGAATTTAAACTTATACAGACTGACATGATTCTGTCCGTATATGATCGGTTTGAATTACTCCTTTTTCTAATAGTGATATTTTTAGAATTAACATTATGTATGTTTTAAAAATGGTTATATTAGGAGTCATTGAGTTATTGTATATTATCATTAAATCTATTGAAACCATTAAGTTGTTGCATAATTTGTAAGATTAAATGAGATTTACATTATGGTTAAAGAATATTTTACTCTTTTTTTTTGAAAATAGGTAATGAAAGAATATTTTACTTTGAATTTGTTCTTTAACAAGAATGTTTCTTTTGTTACCTTGTCAGTAAATGGTAACATCCCCTTTTTTATTGATAGATAATTAGTAATTTGTCTTATATTATTGATAATTACACAACTTATGAATATTGTTCATAATTAATTATGCATCACACATTGCTATTAAAGATGGCAACGTGACATATGTCGGTGATTATAGGGACAATGATTATCTCATCTACACAATAAATTACGTAGTGATGATTTACAAGTAGGTGAAAGATTCTTCACCGATGTGGCAAGTGAAGACATTTAATTCCCCATTTGCCAATCTAAACGCAAGCATCATTACATTGTCTTGTATATCACATCAATGAATATATAAATTCAACGATGTGGCATATCTTCTTGTTTGACACCTAACCCTTCATATGCCAATTTGATAACCGTTATTTAGCATAGCTAATCACATCTGTGAATAGAGAAATTTATCGACACGGGTTATATTGTTGTTTATGGTCCAAGATTTTGTCTACCGAGCTAGTGAACATTAAATAGCATTGCTAAACATGTCAATGATTTTCCTAAATATAACTAGGAAACTTTTATCATGTTGTTGTTTGAATTACTAAGAGAGGAATTTCTAAGGAGATTTTCACTGACATAGGTTATGATATTAGGCACTTTCACCCACAAGTGGCAAGCTTTCACCTACG